CACCACCCAGACATAAAATGTACTTAAGCATGTATTCCGAGCGCATTGCCGTCTGCAAGACGTGGAGTAGAAAAAACATCAGACTCGTTACGTTACGTTACGGCTTCTCGTGATTCAAGCCAAATAAAATTCCAAAAGTTGCCGCCGCCCATAATAATTGAAACAATTAATTGAAAAACTGAACATTATAAAATATATTTTTACTCGTATACCTTATAGGGGTCATTATCGAAATGTTCTTATGGGCGCAGTTGCTTTTCATTTTAAGGCTTATAGTTTTACTTGCTCCCGCTAAAATTTGCCTTCGTTCACAGCTTTACCGTCATCTTATGGTATTCATAATATACACTGCCTATAAATGAAACATTTGAATGCCTCATGAGATTGGCACAAAGTCTTGAGTTCTCTCTAATGACAATCAAAGAGCAAAAAAAAAGAAAAAATTTATTCGAGATGGTGGGTGGAGGCGGTTAAGCGAGTACAATTTTCTCGTTTACTGTGCATATAAATTCACTCGTGAATTTTCTTTTCTTTTAAGTTTTCTCAAATGTCTAAATGGCGGAGATTGGAGATTCGCCTTTTCGTTCATTCTCGTATCATTTTTTTTTTTTTTTTTAATACAATATTTGTTCTTCACTTTTTAAATGCAAGTTAAACTTATCTTATTTTATGTTTATGTACTTTTTATTTTAACTTATATTTATATAGTACTTTTTATACCGATCACCAGATAGAGAATATATTGATTGCGAGTAAATTGATTGTATTAATTCATTTTCTAAATGCATTATTAAAATGTAGATATATTAACATAAGATTTTTAACAAGTTGAGTCATGATGTTGTCCGTACTCAATTTTCGTCTTGATCAAGTTCAACCTTGCCAGCTACGAAAGTCTAGATTTAATCCCCTGTACAAATATACCGATTAGAGCTGGAAGATCGAAAAAAAAGTGGGCTTATTTTCCATAAATTTATTCATCAAAATTAACAGAAAGACTGTATTTGTTTATTTTTTTTTCATTTTTAATGAATGTACTTACATTTATGCCGTGTACAATTCAACTTAAGATGGTGATAGGCATTCATGCACGATTCGTCCCAAAGACGAATATGGTTGTTTTTTTTTTTTCAATTTATTTACTTTTTCAAGTAGAAAATATTTTTATAAGAAAAAACCGCAAATTAAAGGCACTTTAGGGTTTTCAAAGGTTGTGTTGTTTCCTTTTTTTTTTTTTTTTTTTTTTTTTCTTTCTAAGCGATTTTAAAAATCGTTTTCAAAGCCTTATTATCTGGGATATTAACTCAATTTTTTTAATTTACTTTCCATAATTTTTCTGTGTGTTTCTACGATTTATTTATTGACGACTTTTTAAGCACAGACTTTCGCTAATATGTATATGTGTATATATATATATCGTTAAATAATAAATGAGTTCGTTTTCTTTTTTTTTTTTTTTTAAATTTGTAAAATAAGAAAATATTTTTAAATATTATTTTACTTTTGTTTTTTTCGCACATTTTCTAAAACAAAATATTGCTTACGGATTTTCATCAGCGACTAAGAAAAACTAATTCCAAGTAGCTCGCTATCTAGATCTGTGTCTTTGAGAGCATTACCCATCAAACAGTGCACTGTGCAAACGCTCTTCTCTCGTACATTGTAAGTCCCTTTTCCTCTTTGCCCCTTCATAATCTGTCTATGACAAACGAAAGTCCAGTTATCCTTTTAATAATATTTTACTTTTTTTTTTGTTTTTTATTTTCCAAAAACAAGATGCTAAACTATCCCCGAGAATGTTAAGATAATGTTGAGAATAAGTTATCTCTAAAGATCGCCTTTCCATTATGAGAACAACATAATCTGCCATGTGCACGCATTTGTGCTTTTCGTTGAATTTCGAGCAATGCCCGTGCGTGTGTGTGCCGTTCATAACCGTCCATTTTCATTGTCTACCAAATAAACAAGTTCTACACTTTCACTCAAAACTTATCGTTAGATGAGAGAATGATATTATGGCGGAGTTGATTACAATTCAAATGAAATTTTAAACATAATCTTATACGAATCTAAGGCAGGATTATTGGTTACACCTGTAACTGTAAATTGCATTCAGGGAAAGGCAGTAGCTTGCAGAACACTATAGCTGAAGTATTCAGCACAATATCTTGATGAGTGGTATTATATTTATGCCGATGACTTTAATTTAGCAAAATATCTGTACGGTGGCAAAATTAGAATTTGTGGTACCACTTGGTATATATAAAACAAATAAAACTGCACATAAATGTTGCAGAAAAGCGCAAGCGAATTTCTACACACCATGAAAATTAGAATCTGTTGTACCGTCAACATAAGCTATGTTGACTACCTGGCATATAAAAAACAAATATAAATGGATACACATATATATATTTATATGCACATACATATATATGTTGCCGGAAAGGACAAGCACTGCTGAAAAAGTGGAAACTTAAAAAAGATAAGAAAGTCACGATGATATCAACGATCCATCGACTTTTTGATTATTTGGAATCGAGAACTTTTCGGGCATGCAACTAGCGTCTCTGTTCTCTTTGCTTTAATCGATCACTAACCTCTATCCCTATAGAGATCGAAGATAGATGCAATTAACAATAAATGCGAATCAATTGCTTGGAATTATGAAAAAGCAAAAACTCTTTCTTGGAATGGTAAAGGGACAGAAGTTGCGCGTTTTTGCTGCGGAATTGTACACTGTTCTAGTGACATTATGAAAATATTTTGATCCATGCATTGAATTGCGAAGATATAATAAGTTTAAAACAAACGTATTTCTCCATAAGAAAAAAACACCTCCCTTAACTGCTTATGGAATGCCTTCCTTCACTGTATGGAAATCATCAATAGTTTTTACTCTTATCTTGAAATTGTATAAATTTTTATAAAATTATATGGGGCCCGATTTTCTTTGGAAAGCGGATTAGAGAAGACGGCTTTCGTTTTTTCCCAACACGCAGGCATGTTATACGCATACGTTCACCTACGTTTCGCTAGCTATACAAAGTGCTTACAAAGAGTAAAATTGGCTGTCGTGTTTTTAACAAAGGGACTTTTTGAATGAAACTAAAATCTCAATTAATGGCGATTCTTTCTCTTTTTCTTCGTCGAAAATTAATTAAAATTAAGCAAGCGTATTAAAGCTACTCATTACGATGATAACAAAAATATCCGTATTGGATGTACTTTCAATGAGAAGCTTCGACTTTGGAACTCCCTGAAAATAATTTATCAATATCAAGGTCTACAAACTGCAAATATGTACTGTTGTATCAACTTATAAAATGATGATATATTTTTCTTATTCGAATTTTGCAAATGTTTTTTTTTTGTTATCAAAAATTTCATCTTAACTCTTGGTCAAATTGCTGTTTTTTTCTTTTTTTTTTTTTCCATATCAAAATAAAAAATTTCTATCAAAAAATTTTCAAGTCTTGAATTCAGTCCAATTATTTCAGATATTTTGTTATAGGTTAATATGATTACGATGATGCATTCATCTTCTATATATCGAATTGAAAAAATTGCTGCAAAAGGCTAACAAATATTTGATCTATTTATTATAAATATATGTTTCTCTGAAAGAAAAACAAAAAAAGAAACAAAAAAAAAAAAAGGGAATAAAAAAGAAAGTGCTTTCCAATAAGGATAACTCTTTCAAGTTCTTTATAAAATTCTTCTGAATTCCTTTATAGTTTTATACATATATGTGTAATTGTTGTAACAGTAGTATATTTTTATGTACGTACATGAACACACACACAATGTGTGCAGAAGTATATAAATAATATTAACTAGTTTTAGGTTCGTCGTTAATTATTCTATAATTTAAATTCAATTTTTTATATATTTATTAATGTTTTTTTTTTTTTGTTATTATCGTATTTATATATATTGTATATATTTGTATTATGTACATATCCACCACCAATACATGCAAGCATAATTAAATTTTTTTTATTTTCCTGTTAAAAGAGAAAACTTTGATTTGGTTTTAAGCTGCAGTAGGCGAGTTAGGTTTTGCTTTTTTTTCCTTACTAACTGCTAACCAGTTAGTTAAATGCATTCAGTTTTTTTTTTTGTTTATTTTTGCTTCGAATTAGTAAAGAGAGTTTTGATAGTTGCGAAATCATTGCTTATATGAAAATCATATTTCAATTTTGCTTATCAATTATTACACTCGTATTTCTTGCCCTCACATGTTTACCGACGCGTAGATATAAGAGATATCTACGTAACCGCACGTATCGATTAGAGTACGAAAACGCGCTATATTAGTGATACAGATACGGGATAAATATGTTTCATTAAAGAGTAAGAATATAATATTAACGAAAGGATGTATCATCCGTTTCTTCGATTCGGATTCATTTATAAATTTTTCTTTCTTTTCATTTTATTGTTAATATTAGTGGTGGTGGTGTATATGATAAGATTCGGTTTAAGCCGAATTCTGGACTCGTTATGAATATTTCAATTTCAATTTTTCATTTTTTTTTTTTCAATTTTTATAAAATTATATTAGCTGCTGTGATTTTATCGAGGAATTCGATATTATTCCGTTTGTTTCTCATTCTTTTTTTTCGTTTTTCATAATGTTTATATAATTTAAAAATTGATTTCTATGAAAATTTAACAAAAAATGAACTGTTTTCAAAACAATTATAAAAAAAACAAATCCTTATGTATGTAGGGAAAGAAAAAGAGGAAGTGTGGCCAAGAGACAGATAGAAAGAAAGAAAGAAAGAAAGAAGAGAGAGAGATAGAAAAAGATGGTCAGGAGGGATAGAAAAAGATGGTCAAAGTGATAGAGAGAAAGAGACGCGGAGAGAGAGAGAGAGAGAGAGAGAGAGAGAGAGAGAGAGCGAGAGAGAGAGACAGAGAGAGCGAGAGAGCACGAGAGGGAGAGAGAGCGAGAAAGAGAATGAAAGACTTACTATTTTTTTTCCTTTTTTTTCTTTTTATAGAAAGAGTTCCGCGGGAGTGTTGGTCAGAACGAATTTGGATTCTCTTTTTCGATCAAAACTTTCGCTTTTTCATTGATTGTATTTATATATAGAAATATGTGTGTGTGTTCATGTGCTTAAAACACATGATTGAAATAATAATAAAAATCTTGCTCTTGCGGTCGATCTGGCTCTTTGTTCGCTAACAGCGGATCAATGTTGTTCTGTTGCGGATACAATTGATATTTTGTATTATGGCCGAGATTGCTATTGTGTGTGTGATGTGAATAGATATTGCTTACAATGCGATTTCGATTACTGTTATCGTCTAAAAATAATCGTAGAAAGTAAATAAAGATGAATGCTAAATAGAGACATAAAATCAGTATTACAACAAATTGATGACAACAACAATAATAAAGCATTCCCTATTATATAACCGCTTGTTCGACATAGTTGGCGGGCAGCATGCCAGTTTTACCGGTACGCTCTACACGGCCAGTCATCCATCCAGAATCAATCGCCTCCACTTCAAATATGATATCACCCTCACGAAAACTGACCTCGTCAATATCTTGCGCTTCATAATCATACAGAGCCCGATAGACCCGCTGTAAATAGATAAAAGAAAAAAACAAAAAATGAAAAGCTCACATAAAAATCGATTTTTTAAATTTACTTTCTATTTTCACTGCGTGTATATACATGTATATTGTATACAATATATATATATATAATATATATGTATTAATGAGAAAAAATATTGTCCTCTATTAGAGTGAAGGGTAAAATTTCTTCAAGATCTAAAATACATCTCGTACATACATACAATCCCATCCATAATTTCAATTATTAATGAGCACCTTTTGTCTACAAATTCATTTTAAGTCTGTTCATCTAAACCGAACAATTATTACGAATGTCAAAAAACGTGCGAAAAATGATGGAAAACGATCTCTTTAGATTCGAAATGGTTTGTATTTAAATGAATGGACATTTGACAATGGCCAGCCCAAATTTTTCAGCTTTTTATTCGACTAGCATTAAAAATAAATCGTAACCTGCACGGAAAGCATTAGATTAGACGTTTTGATCAGAAACTCAACTCGTACTCAAGATCATAGTAAGTGGGTTATCGTAATGCACTAACCGATATAAGCTAGATCTTAGATTATCTACAATTGGCTTCCATAGGAAGATAATTCACATCATTTTGTTTAACTTCAGCAATCAGATCGCGAACGTTTCTTTTTGAAGACGCCCTCCTCTAATGTCGCTGATGAATTATTGGCATAAATTCCATGTGATCTCAGAATGTGTTGTTGTGTGAAGGATGTTGAATAAGAATTACATTTTTCGAACACGTTTCGAGCATCTTTGAATTTATTACATGGGAGCATCATCATATCATAATGAACCGTTTCCCTAAAATTTCAATAATGATACTTTAGCATCGGTCATGCGATTCTGTCGATATTCTCTTTAATGGCTAACTAACTTGAACCCCGACCCAATTATAAACATGTCTTCAACCATTTGACGGTCTTTCGGCAATGTGCTGTCTCGTCTCGTACTAATCACGTTTCCAACAAAAAAAAAAAAAAAGAAAGAAAAAAAGCACAAAATTAATTTACAGGCAATAAGCCCCTAAAGTTAACAGCCGTCAAGGTCAGTTGGGAAAGTTCGTTAGCTTTGCTTTTGAAGAGAGCATTCTCGATTCTAGTGCATTGCATAAATTGCAAAAGTCTGCTGGAGAAGAGATTTCTTTTTGTTTGCGGTTGACTTTTAAAACTTACCACACTTGATTTAGATTGCTTTTGTTGTAGATTATGATTCGAACGCTGAGCTTGCGGTGATGTTTGTTGCTGTACTTGTTGATAATATTGTTGTTTTTGTTGTTGTTGCTGTTGCTGCTGCTGTACGGCTGCTTGTTGTTCAGCTACCAATGAACCATAAATACCGTTAACTGGATCAATATCAGCCACAGAACCGATACGTTTCGGATAAGCATTATTAACTATTAACAAAGCGTTGCAAGAAACAAAAAGCAAAAAACAATTTTCCGAGAAAAAAAGAAAGCAAAAGAATTTTCAAACAACGCGCAAAAAGTCATAACGAAAGTAAATAACAAAAAAAAAAAACAAAAAGAAAAACAAAAGAGTTTTCATTTAATAGGCAAGTGTAAGTAAGTTTTATAGTCGAACAACTCTCTACTCCTCCCTCCCCACCTATTATAGGTTTACTAATGCTGGAGCCGGTTGATGTTGTCTTAAATTTCAATCTCATATGGCCGGGTGTCGTGTTGTCCTATTTTTCGATATTGGATAAATTGCAAATGTACCTTCTCTTCTTCAGAGCACCCATCGTACAGTATTACGCTGACTACTATTATATGTCGTGTGCCTACTTCTCGCCTACTTGGAACATTCTTAAAAGGCTAAAAATTCATCAAAAGATAGTTAAGTTTAGTTTATTTGACTGACTCTCAAAGCACTTTTACTATTAAACTTCCAGCAGCAGTTAGACGGATCCGGTCCGTGCGAATGAAAAGTTTTTTTAGGGTTTCTCTCTTATATAGCTGCTGTTTGCTTACTCTCTTCAGTGTAATGTGAAATTGAAATAAAACGGAAAATGAGAAATTTAAAAAAAAAAAGAAAACTTTAAGAAGCAACAACAACAATTGGTTTTACATACAGTATGACTTTTAAACGTACAGAGATTTTTTGAAAACGATGACAAACAACAAAAACATTTGAATGAAAATTGGTTTTAGGCAATCGTGCTCTTTTTGCTTCTTCTTACTACTTACCATTGCTGCGATTATCAGAGCTGTAAATGAGTGTCGTGCTCTGTCTAGCGGTATTGGGTAATGGACGTGGTCCATCCGTAAGTGGGTCGTAATCGGCTATTTTACCGATATTACCGGCCGATACAGACTGTGGACCACTACCGTTCATAGTAACAATACCCACCGACGACGATGATGAAACGGATGTTTGCTGCTGCTGTTGTTGATGTTGATGTTGATGTTGATTTTGATTCTGATGTTGTTGTTGTTGTTGTTGTTGTTGTTGCTGTAAGTGTTGCATACCGATTGCCCCGACGCCGTTAATGGTATGATGAGTATTATGACCGTTACTAGCGAGACCGACGACACCAAATGAAGATCGTGGCGATGGAGGTAATGTGGTGGCCGATGATGGGTAACTATTGTAATTGGTGCTAGCAAATAATTGTTGTGTGGAATAAGAATTGTTGGAATTAATAGGATAGCCGCCGCCGCTTCCACTACTGCCTCCAACAACAAACGATTGCTTTTCCGGTGGTTGATAGCCAGTGGAAGACGCCGCAACATTACTACTAGTGGTAGTACTATTTGTGACATTGCTATTATTATTATTATTATTTTGCTGAAATGATGGTCTAGCGTAACTATTGTCGTATTGATCGTAAGCATATGAACTAACTGTCGCTGCTGTTGATGACGGTAATGCGGGATCTATGTTCGACCCTCCGGTCGGATGATGGGCACTCTGTAAAATGGCTGAACGCAACTGATTATAACTATTATTGGGCTGCTGATATGCTGACTGTGATTGTTGCTGCGCTTGCTGTTGCTGGTGCGTTATGGATTGATTGACGTTGGCTGCGGAATTAGGATACAAATTAGATGTTTGTTTAATCAATAGTGCGTTATGATGGTGTTGCTGCTGTTGTTGTTGTTGTTGTTGTTGTTGCTGTTGGCGTACTATTTGAGGCTGTTGATAGTGTTGTTGCTGATATTGTTGTTCGTGTTGTATAAATTGTTGCTGTTGTGTATGTGAAGGTTGCATGAATTGTAATTGTTGTTGCTGTTTGTTATTAAAAGGTTGTTGTTGTTGTTGGTGATAAAGCATATGTTGTGTATTGCCCGTCTGACTATTACTTGGTACTATGTGAGCCGTGTTTTGTTGTTGATGTTGTACTGGTGGTGGTGGCATTGGCTGCTGTTGTTGTTCTAATTGCTGGTGACTGTGTGCCTGATAGTGTTGTTGTTGTTGTTGTTGTTGTTGATAATGTTGGTGGTGCTGGTGTTGCTGTTGTGTAGTTAGTAGTAACGTTGGTGATATCTGCTGCGGTGGCAGAGGCGAATATGTTCGTGTCTGTGGTGCGTACTGTGAAAATTGCTCAGCTGCCAATTGTTTAGAAAAATATTCCGATTCATCTAATTTTTGAATTTTTTTTTGTTTTTTATTTATTTATTTTTTTTTTTTTTTGATAGTAGGGATGGGGCGTGTAAGGAAGACAGTATACGTAGAGAATGATGATGTGTGATACAGTTTATTTTCAAGCAACATTCAATCAAGTGTTGTGTAATTCATAATTATATGGAGAGCAATTATTCGTTTAGTTTTCAAGTGGTGGATGATGATTGTATTGTATTGTGGTTGTTGTTGATATTGATATGCGATGAAAATGAATATAAGCGATACACACACAAAATGGTAAATATTTGGGTTAGAAAATAGTATAAGAAAACATAAAAAATTAAAAAAAAAAAAATGTGCAAAATCAGAAAACAAAGAATTTAGTGAACACAGAAATTAAATAAAAAGAATAAAAAATAAAAAAATATATTGCAAATAAATTAAAACTAGTGTAATAATCAAGATACTAATTCTGGTATAAATTGGAAAAATTCACTTAAATGCCTCTCCCCTGAAGTCGTCCTCTCTAAGTGGCCAGAGAATTAACAGTGTTCGATGCCTAAGGCATTTAGCGATGAGGTTTAAATTACCCTTTGACAAAGAAAAGCAAACTTCTCTTCTACCCTACACTTCAACGCAGATCCAAAGATTTTAAGTTATATTGTCAACCAGGCTCCGTAAAAATCAGAACAAAAAAGAGAGCTTATTTTTTCGTTTCGAACCGAATCTTTTCATAGCCCATCGGTTTTCCAAAATATTCTAATTAATCCTAAATATGTATGGGATAAAAATAAACTTCAAAATCAAGAAGTGAGATAAGCTTTCGATGTCCCATTCGAAGAGAACATGGTGGAGGATTTGTGGGGGGGGGGCCATCAACACATTGAAACTTAAATTTGCTGATGCCATGATTTGGATTTAAGTTTTTTATATCTTATAGCACTTGTTGTACTAGGTGCACTTCTATACAACACACAGGAGGACTTGAAATAGACCCATCATCTTCATGAATCATTTTCTAAATCAATCTAAGCTTATCTGTCTGTCTGTTCGTGTATTCTTCTGTTCAACCTGCAGATCGCAATTTTTAAAATATTTTAATGAAATTTCCTTACACCGACGTGTTTTGGCCCAAAGACCAACGCCTTTGAAAATGATTTAGATCGGACCCCTTTTTCGAGCATTTGTCCATTGAACGCGTGATTTTGGAAAAGCCATTATACGAACAATTATATTAGACGAAGCGGCGTGTACGATATTTAATGGTGGGCCGTGGCCTACTGCAATATTTTTACTTTTGGGTTTTGAGGGAATTTAGTTATGTCCGTCACTCTGTCCATCCTTCTCTCAGTTTTTGATAAAATTCAGCTAAAAAAGTTTCAGTAAGAGGAGAAATGGTTCCGATCGGTTAACGCATGCATAATTAATGAAATATTTTACAATTTCACAATCATTTTGCCATTTTGTAAAGCGGTAAACTTTTCAATTTTCTAATTTTTATAAGACTTGATCAAAAGGTTGATTGATATTTTAGAAGAAATCATTCAAGTTCGATCACATTTAAAACGATTCCTTGCTTAATTTCTGAACATTAATCATGCCTGGCTTTTAATGATTTTTAAAGATACGATGTTTTCTTAAAAGAGCTTTTTTTTTATAATTTGCCTGCAAATTTAGCTTTCGTTGAGCTCCGTACAATCGATCGAACAGAAATGTTTTTTCTTGAAAGATGGAAAAAAATTGATTACACTTCACGACGTACGCGTGCTAAATATACTTAGATATGTAAGCAGTAAGAGAACGTGTTGTCGATCGAACGAAATGCGTAGGCGTGAATCTGCTTATAGCAAATGGGAAATTGAAAATTCTCCGCATTACAGCCATATAAAAGGAGACAAAGGTTGTAAGGTTGTAAAAGGAGGGCGGGCGCTCTTCATGAGAAATCCAAAGCTATGCTTCATACGATGATATCGAAAAATTCAGAAGGAAAAATATTGTAAAATGCGCGTGCTTTTTGTTGAGCATTACTTTGTGGTGCATTTCCGCAAAAAAAAAAAAAAAAATTAAAAATATTTATTTCAAATTTTGCATATCGAAAAATTTGCTCAAATAAAGCACAAAGAAAAAAAAAAAAAATTAAAATTACTTTCTTCCGATTTTACCAAACTTAGCTATTTGTCGTCTCCACGAGTTGGCAACACTGCTGATAACTAAATCTGTGTATTTCTTCTGCAACAACATGTTCAGCTCAAAATTTGTTTGTTCTAAGTTTTAATTAGTATACAAATATGTTGAAATAAGAAACATAGAAAAAAAAAGTATAGAAATTTATCACTAAAAAAAATTAAAGATAAACTTTTCAAAAGTTTGGAAATTCCTACAATAACACGGTTAAGGCATACACGCGCTCATAAACAAACGGTTAGATTGAGAGTTAGCTGCAATATATATATATATATATATATATATATATATATATGTATATGCTGGTATATATATGGCATATATATATGTATATATGGTACCATACAGGGTATATATATACCCTGATTCATACACACATTTTTTACATACGCACATACATAAATATACACAGTGTCCTCTTCCATAAAAAGTTGCTAAACTGATTTTTAAATTATTAGGAAAAATGTGAAAGAGGAGAGAAAATCTTTTTACACTAATTGCCTCAAACATCTTGCGTTGCTGAATCCACTGCAAACAAAGATGATCAATACTCACCTTTTATGTCGGATATTTCAGCGGCACCACGTTGCTTCTCCATTTTTGCCTTCTTCTCTAAATCGCCATGATAGGCTACATTTGAAATAATTTTTGTATTCTGTTTAATACGTAATGTTTCGGGATCATCGGCGACCTGTCAGTGACACCGCAATGTATGTAACAAAAAATGAATAAAAAAAATTGGAAAAAGGAGAACCTTTTATGAAAATATTTTATGAAAATATTCAGCATATTTTCCCTAAAGCATTAACATATACATGTATATATATACATACACATAAATCTATACGCAAATACCAAAGCATAAAGAGATTTATATGTTAAAATATTGCAGTAACGCCTATTGTGCTTGCTACATTTACCAAACACACAACATATACATATATACATATATATATATATATATATTTATATATATATATGTGTGTGTGTTTGTGTCTACATGCATTTTATATCCACCATACAGCATTTTTGAAGTATATTAATTTCGTCATTCTGTTTTTGTCACCTGGTCAATGTATAAAAATTCAGATGGAATGTCGAAATTTAATGCATGGATTTAAGTGCATGCTAGGAGGTAATATGCTTATTGAAAATGATAAGAAATGATAAATCGACGCCCCGTCATTCATAACTATTTCAAAACACATTGCATTATGGGTAAATATTAACTATAATATCATCAAACGATTGTAAGCGGAAAAATCGGTGCGATCGGAGAAAAAGTAATCTTAAGGTACGTCACATTTCCCTCCCCCCCGTTTCACGTCGTTTTGGTGGTGGGTATAACAGATTCGGCTAGCGAGCCCCTATAGTGTTCTCGCTATTTTGATGTTATTATACTTTTTGTGGCTACATAACTGACTTAGTGTAACTGACCTGTGTAAATTTGCCCTTAGCCTTTTCGAAATCTTCATGATATTTTACATTCGATTGAATTTTTGTATTCTCCGCTATTCTCTTCAATTCGGGCGTATCCGCTATGACTGTGGCTTTGGCCTTTGGAATGTGTCTGTAATGAAGCATAAATTGATGAGCGATGCACTGATCAATGTAATATTTTCATTGTAAATTTTATTTGTGTTAATATATATATATATATATATATATATATATAGAAATTAAAAAAAATAAATAAAAATAAAATAATTAAAAAATAATATAAAAAGCTGTGTTTAGAAAATTTTCTTATATAAAATTGTAAACACACACATCCATAGTAGTACCCTTACGTTACGTATCAGTGGAGAGTTCCATTTTGGTATATTTTTTTCTAATATCAATCAAATATTAATTTCCTTAACTTATTACTTATTATGTTTATTGATTTTTAATTTTTATTTTTTTTTATTTATTTATTTTTTTTAATGTTTTTTACATCGTCATTTCAAGAGAATAACAAAGTAATGCCCCCATCTGTAGCAACATATTTTTGTTGTTTTTTTATTTATTTTTTTTATTTTTTTTTATTATCTTTATGACAGAATAGGAAATTCATGCCGGACTGACACAAACTACAAAGAGAACCGGTTTTTGGAATCATAACAATAGGAGCCTTATTTGGGGGCAGATAACAAATAAATTGTGGTTTGAAAATTTTGTTAATTGGGAAAAGCAACTTCTGATGAATACAGCGAAGGCACTAGAACATTCCAGTTTAGCGTCGCAAATGTTTCCACTACGGCCTTTAAAATATAAGGCTGGCGGTGTGGTGTCATCGTAATGCAGCAGCTTTTCCTTTAATGATCGGTTTGACTGCCTCAGTCACCGCATTAACGCTTTTTTCGGCAGTTTCTTTACCTTGGAACAAGACACTACGGCCGGTCATAGACATTCTCAGGACTCATCACCGATATTAATGGTTCACTTAACTTTTGCAGAATAGTTATTTGCGATGTGCAACTACAAAGCATCAATTGTTCGTTATACGTCATGGTTTTTTTGCGTCCAAGTTTCCAAAACGCAGTCGTCGATACCTTACAGCCAGACTACTTTCTTTAGTCACAATGTCACATAGTACAACCGATAAGGACATACTGGGTTTTGTAACGTGCATAGTGAAACGCGATATTTTATATAAAAAATGCACGTTTATTGCTATCGTTCATCGATAGTCCATCCATTTTTCCCACTTTTCTTCGCAATTACTAAATGAATGACACGTCAAAAAAAAAATTTTTTTTTCTCTTTTACGGCAAACATCAGGCCATTTTGTCATGCTCAGCAAATGCGTGTCCCATCGGTTCCAGCAAGTAGTAATCGGAAAGAATGAACTTTGGTGCGTAAACCATGCGGGTTAACATTTTCCAGTTAAGCGGTTGCAGCGTATTTTGGACCGGTTTTGCTGTATGAATGGACGGACAGATCGAAGATTTTAAATCGGTTAATTAATTCTTCTTGATAGTGTATTTGATCTTAATTGCGTCACCGAACCTTAGCAGGTAACAAGAGACCGCATATTCCGCTTCTGGTCCCACCAAACGCAGAACATCATTCAGCCTCGCTGTTGATGTGAATAGTACGTGATTTCAATTTTTTAGAATAAATCCACTTTTCATCTTCAGTTAGGATATACTATGCAGAAAGGACTTTCTTTACTAAGGTACCGAGCATGTGCTGTTATTATGATATGATCTGATGATTTTACACCCTACGCCATTTGTAATACAGGATATATTAAGCTAGTGCGGACGCATTCTCCACTTGGTAGAATCGGCATGAATCGGTATCAAACATACCCATGTTTTTCAGAAGGTACCTGAGGGAATTATGACCCGTAGAAGCCGATGACTAAACGTAGGTCGCTACTCCTTAATTCCAGTAGTGTGTGCGTCCTGAATCTTCTTACTTGTCGCTGTCCTGCACATTGCTTCCATCGGCAGTCCGCTTTATTTTATGCCCATCCCAATACCAGCTTATTAATGTGACTACAGAACTTTGTTAGGACGTACATGGCCTCTGGGGCTCCCCTGTTAGCCTGGTAGTCAACCCTTTCATTGTCCTCAACACGCGAAAATCAGGTACACACTATTGTGCCTGCCGAGCTCATTCAATGTTTGAGAAGCCACTCCAACATATATATAGATCTGCGCTTATTTTATCAATAACGCGAATAATCTTAATGAATAAGATCGTTGAGAGTTTGTGGTTTTTTGGAGTGGGACAATGCTTCAACGTAACCTCAAAGTAAAAAGCTCAATAAGATTATAGCGCACGACCTTCATGGTAAGCTCATACTGGAATTTTTGCAGTTTATACGCTAATTGAATTTTTCTCCCAATAAACTGATTTTGCCACGGCATGCATGGCATGTTCCAACATTTTGGTAGCTGCCATGTTGTCATCTTCATGTTTAAGACAAACCACACTCAAAATTAATTTTTATGCACGTACAAGTCTTTTAGGGACAGTAGATCGGTTTTTCTTTCGCTAAAGGATCAAAAATTCCCCATTTAAGAAAATGTGAGCTTCATTTCACATGCGAACTTACTATGGGTTCATCGAAAATATGTTTTTAACAATTTCTCTACGCTATACTACTGTATGCGTGTATTGTACTCCACAAAATTTTATGCAGTAGTGTGTTTTATTTCGGAACCACAAAAATGGACGGCCCTATAAAGGCATATGATATATTTGCCGCTAGATTGTGCTTGCTATCTCAACTACCAGCTAACGATAGTCGGGTTACTGAAATAAATAAAACACGGTAATGCCATTCAAGAGGGATCATGATTAAAGAGAGGATGTACCACCACCACCAAAACCGATTTCAAAGCTAGGATTAATGCCTCGCTTTAGCCGAAAAGGAATTATACTTTGTCATATTCTAACACTTGATCAAGCGATGGATTTGAATGTCTATTGTCTATAAACAACAAGATCACTGTAACGGTTTCAACAAAATCTGATCAGAATGGATCAATAGAAAGATTGTTGTCTTCCATTACGACATAGTCAATCGGGCATTCACTGTCCGATCCGTCCCTACGATTAGTTTCGTTCTCTGATGCCTTGACGGTATAAAGCTGAGGCAGAGAAATTTCACAAGTGATGACATAACGGTTTATAAATATTATTATTATACAGATTGTTATTATCATTATATTGCGATATATTGTGAAATTGAAAATTTTACCCTCCACCGAACTAGAACTTCTCTTACTTATATTTTTTTCCCTGTATCTGTGTACCTCTTTCACAATGACTCATCAATGACAGCACGGTTTGGTTCTATTGTTGCATCATTTCTTAATTATGAACTTATTTGTAAATCCATTTATTTATGTATCTAACATATATTTTGTCTACTTGTGTAGGTTAGTTTGGATCTATTCAGTCGGATGCCCATTATATTCGCTTTAGTTGGTTGGACCGTCGAATAATAATAACAGTAATAGATTAACGTGACTAAAATTCTTTGATGAGTAATGACGGATCATCTGGCAAGGAAGAGGTAATGATAGAACGGGCATGTACTAGACTCGTATATACTATCGTTGTTGACTATGATCTAACATTCGATACTGTATAATATATACAATACAGGGAGCATTGATTGCATGACTGACTGGGGGATCTGAAGATACAGCGTAGGTACAGCTGTTACTTTACGTCTTTCTATTCATTCGAATAAGACGTCAGTCATTTAAATATAAACGAAGACGTTGTTTTTTCTTCATTTGCATGACATCAACACACGATGCATTTTAGCGAATACAATTGCAATAATAGTCAACCAATTAGTGCAATGGAGTGAATAATGTTTGTTTTCACATATGTATCTGTACACAATTAAGACATCTGGTGAAAATGAAAAAGTGAGAGAAACCCGGCTTAAGACGAACGAGTTGTTAACTAAAAATTAAAGAAAATTATTTATTTATTTATTTTTTTGTTTTTTTTTTTTTGTTCAAAATGTCAAGGTGTTTGGTTCCCCTCCCCCCAACATGTGCTATTTATACTTTGTATTCTATGATGTATTTTCTATTCGGGTAAATAAACTTACAAAAGGAAGGCCAAAGAAGTACAAATTCGCCAATTATCAGACGTGTATGAGCGTGTATGAGAGCTGAAGATAGCAATAAACAAAGCACTTCAACTTCCTTCGGCCATAATGTGGGCAAACAAAGCAAAGAAAAAGTAACAAAAATATTTCATTTCTTTGCGGAAAACTTAAAAGGAGATACAAGAAGATGAACAAAGTACAAGATTTCACACCTGCCCGAACTATGCACTATGCTTGCAGGATTGAGAAAGAAAAAGCAGAAAACTAACTATAATTCTTTGCCTGCAATAATGCCGTAGTTTTCAAGAGTTAGTATAATAGGTGTCCCATCCTAAGAGACTAAGAACAACAATAGATTCGCGCAAAACTTACGAGTTGCATTTACTTTGCGCTGAGTCATAATTTATTTATGAAATAAAATCTTTTAGTAAATACTTAAAATAATATATTAAGTCAGCCTGAATGAATGAATTGAATGAGTGTATGTATGTATGTGAGGGGGGACACGATCACGATTACCTTTGTTATCCCATCCCTGTTATTTTATATAAACACCTCCAAGTTCGATATACATTTTCGAAAGTGTTCGAAATCTCTCTCTCTCTCTCTCTCTCTGCCCGGTTACTACTCTTTTATCATTTGATGGAAGTAAACCTTTCCCGCGTCAGAATGCAAGAATTACATCCACAAGACTGTGAATGAGAATTCGAGTACTTCGTACTTTAGTACCCTGAAATTTGAACATTGCAAAAGATCATGCTTTTCTGATGTGAGAGAGTATTTTTCGTCAATTTTTTCACTAATATTGCAAAAGATACAAAATATCGTTTGCAATTGAGAAGTGGATCGCGTTTTGTGTCAATTGGTCTTTCTATCATAGTAAAACTTTAAATCCCGCATTGGCTTACGCGGATAATGCCGTTTTAAGCTTACTTTTCCTTGCACTTGTTTGCCATTAAATAGGTTTGCTGTTATGTGAATAGCATGTATGAGTATACGTCATC